TGTGCACTTAAACAATGACTCATGTAAGTTAGACAACAAACTTAGAAATAAGTTCTTTAAGTATGAAAAAGATGGATGTCCCAATCGACAATGCCATAACCAAATCTGTCTTTCTTTGTCACTAGTTTATCCTACATTATTTGCTTCGCCGATGCTTAATTCATCCATGTCAACCCTTCTCTTTAGTACACGATCAATAATCTCCTTCATGAAAATGTCTTAAAACAAATAGAAACTAGGATACATTAATGCCTAACAATTCGGTTCCTTGGTAACTTGTCCAACTGATAATAATTTATTCAAAAGAGATGATACTAATAGAGTATTTGGTAGTGAAAAAAGGGTGAAAAAGCCATTCTCTCAGCTCCTACAACTAGGTAAGTCATTCCATTAGCATTGGCAATATATGTCTATTTTGGTCGAGTGTTTTTTGCTCAATCTTATGGATCAAATGTCATATGATTTGTTGCTCCCGAATCAATTATTCAAAAATTGTTACCCGAATTGTTAAAGGCCATAGATTTGTTTATTGTAGTAGATGATGACTCCACTTGTGGTATGAGGGATAGGTGATGTTCAATATTTTTCACCACAAGAAAGGGACATTTAGTGTTCATGAGTACAACTTGACCAAGATTTCTATCTCGTGCGCATCGTACCTATTTCATATTTCTTCTTTGCTTTGAGTTCTTACCACCACTCTGGATATCCATGTAATTTAAAACATGTATACACGGTATGTTTCATATTTTTGTAATGTGTACAACCTACACCTCCTACTTATGGCTGTAATTTTGGTGGTGTTAAACTTTCCACTAGATGATAATTGAAGTAAAGGTTGTTATGACCATTTTCCTCCTTTTGAGATTATAGGAGGACCAAGTACGGTCTCTCCGTTTGTCAACATTACTTGCTTGCTTTTGGTTTTCCCAATGAACATGTGCATAGACTTATTCCACTATAGGAAATAGTATAATTTGAAGCATATCTCTTTGAATCTTGTCTAGTCAATCATCTAATCCATCCAAGAAGGTGTAAACATTATATTCTTGTACCATAGAATTATACCTCTATATGTTAGTTATGCAATTCATCATATTCGGATGATGAAAGTCTATTTCCCTCCATAAGCCTTGAAGATTGTTGTAGTATGTCTCAATAGCCCCTCCATTTTTTCGAGCCTTGTCACCTTCCTTTAGATATGATAAACTTGTGAGGTGTCGAGTCCATCAAAATATTATAGTAATAGCATTCCACACCACTTTCATCGTTAGATATCCGATCTAGTTGGTGATCAACTTTGGATCCATAGAGTTAATTAGCCATCCCTTCACCATTATATTTTCTCGCTCTCCATCTTCTAAAATTTGAATCTGTTTCTTTTAGTAACAATAAATTACCATTAATGTATCCCAACTTGTCTTTGTTAGAGATGTACATCCGCACAACTTAGGACCAAATGCCATAATTGGTGTCATCCAACTTGACACATAGTGCGGTGATTATTTCATGATTCGTTACAATCTGTGTTTGTTTTAACATTTGGGACATTCTAGATGCTAGGTCTATAAGGATTGAATTCTCTCTTTGGGTATTTATCATGAGAGTTTGATCTCTCATAGCTTTCATTTTTTTCTTTTCAATAATTCTACGAGTTTGAAAGTCTATGCTCTAATACCATGTTAAAGCTGTATATGTTTTTAATATATTTCAATACGGAGTATACGAGAAAAACAAGGCTTATATAGCACGTACGAGTCCTATTCTTAGAACTAAAATATAGGGTTTCTTAATTGGGAAGTATATGTACTACAAATAAATCACTAAAAAATCTCTATAATTATAGGGGAATAACAACCCACACCAACATAACCCGAGTGGCAAAGTTGCTTCGAACTTAGAATTGCGAGAACAATCTTGGTATGGTCGGCCCAGTTTTGCTTCTTTCATAACGTTTAATGAGGCTTTCTCACTCTTCTATTACTTTTTTTGCTTCAGTTTTTGTCGCAATTTCTTTTCTCACTAATTTTTTTGCAATTTTACTTGTTACATCATTATTATGCCCACTCTCAATTAGTCTTTTTCCCTGTCTTTCTTGTTATTTTTTTCAAACCCTAAATTCTAGCATTACTTGTACTCGAGAGAGTCTCCTCACCTTGGGATCAATTTTTGCCTCCTTCATAAGCAAACAAACCATTATATCTGCTTGTGTATTTTGGCTTAACATGGATAAAGCAAAATATGTGTATTGTTTGTGAACTTGGTTTGGCTTGTTTTGCGGGTGCATCATAATAGAGTGATGTACACCGGGATTCTCTAATGAGAATTGCATTACAAGGAGGAAGAGATGGCGACCTTGTCCCTTCGGCTCGTTGTCTTTACTTGATGAAGGTGAAATGGAGCCAAATGGTGGTAGAATGCGGGAACTAGCATGCTAAATTTTTGTTAGAGTTGGAAAAGCTCGGATGACAAGGCGTTCGGAGGATCGAATTGGTCCTGTCGTCGGCATCTTGAGTTAATTTAGGTCCCCGTCGGTTAATTTTTTTTATTTCGGTTATACCATTCGATTTACCAATGTAGTCTTTGTACTTTTTAATTTTTTCAATTAGGTCCCTAGGTCCTATAATTGTGGTTCTAAAGTTTCGATTGATTTAATTATATCTCTAATTGCCTCAATTTCACTTTTCACTTTTGTTTGATTCAATTGTACTCTTGATTTTATATTTTATATTTTTTTAATATTTTGATTTTTTTCTTTTTTTATTATTTCGATAAATTCCAATAATAGAACTAAAAAATAAAAATAGTTAACAAATGAAAAACAAAATAAAAGAAGATAAGAAAACTAAAGATAAAAGAAATAAAAAATGAGGAAGAAAATTTTTGGTTATGGAAAATTTAACCAAAGTCGTCATGACCAATAAACAAAGTTCGAAATTGAATATTCCAAAAGGTGTAGTTCATGAAAGTAAGCTTGAGTGGTGTTTGTGCGAAAGTATTGATGGTGATGAGTTATTGATGTTTATCGTTTGTTTGAGAGGAGGGAATGACGGTAGTCATATAGATGTGATTGATATTACTCCAAGACGTGAAGAAGAAGAAGGAGGGATATAAGGGAGCTTACAACTTGATTTAGTTTTCGGAAAAGATTTTGTTACGATACCATTATAGAATAAATAATAGGTTTATCCGAATGATTCACCTTTGTTATTATTGACAATTATAACGAGTATATATACATACATTGTAGGATACAATGTCTCTTATAATCAAGACCATTAAGGGTTTTAAATCTTTTGTACACAAAAGTCTAAAAAAAAACACAATTTGTACAATCTCTTATAATTGTGATCGATATCATCGAATATCTCTCATAATAACGATTTTTTTTAAAAGACTATTTCTCCTTAAAAATGATAACAAACCATTGGGTAGCTAATAATGCGAGAAGATTTGAATATGAATGGGGGCAAAGCACCCGTTCTATTTCACATAGTCCAAGAAAGTCACATAAATAATTGAAAAAGAACCCCCACGCTTTCTTTTATTTATTTTTTCATTATGGTATGATATTATCAACTAATTCATTTTAGCCTTTATTTTTTTATATAAATACCACACAACACAAAGCCCCTCATTTTGCGTCGATCTCCTTCCATTTCCCAAACAACAACACTCGCATCTTTGAATATGCAATATTTCTAGAATAAGCGAGAAAGAAGACGATAAGTAATTTTACCAATTGTAGTATCCGTAGGTGTTTTGTCTTCGGATGTTTGCAATAGAGAACACTAATTGCTTGTAGTTGTTCTTGACTAATGCTAATGGTTGCTAAATTTGCGGAGTAATTGCGTGCTCTGGATGAACTACTAGAATTTGGAATTTTGGATTTATGGAACTTGTGCCCATATGGATAGCCCACTAGTCCGTGCATTCTTTATTTGTATGTCCGGGTATATTGTAGTTTTTACATCTTATTTTTCTCCGATTATTAGTTCTATTTTATTTCTCTTTGGATTGAAAAAATACGTGGTCCATTATTATTGAAATACATGTTATTTAGATCTATCCGGATACGTGTTGTTGTTTTTGTATATACAACTCCATCCGAAATATCCTTGCTCATGATGTTAAGAAGCCATGCCAACACCATGTAGTTTCATATATCCCATCGATATGCTAACTTTGAATTTTCTATTGGTCTTTTACGGGTTTCAATCATGAATCCAAGTTTGTTCTTGATAAAGAGTGCAATCATTACGGATCTCTACCATGGACCATAATTTTCCGATTCTTTAAAAACTTGATTGATCAGCATAATGACGGGGTTGTCCGCATGATGCAAATAGAGAGGGTTACTATAAGCATTATTTGTGGGTCTATAAAGTTGACTAAAACTAATGTTCTTTTGTTGGAAGTCTCCTCTTTGGATCCTTTCATTGTAAAAGAGAAGAGGTTAATGGGTAGGCTTTGATACCATGATAAAAAAAATTGTCTGTGTTTCTTTCTTATTTTATTACAAGCAAATATTGATTTAAATACAAAAATCTATACAACTATATTGTACATGAACAAGAAGTTCTTACAATATAGGCACTGATTTAAGAGAAAACATAGATGTTAAAGATGGAAATAATTGACTAGGAAAATCTCTAATTGAATGAAACAAAATAGAAAAGGTATTTAAACCGTATCCGTTTTAAAGATTATTTTTCCTTAAAAGTTTATAACAAACCATTGGGTAGCTAATACTGCCGAAGATTTGAATTTGCGTGAGAGCACCCGTTCTGCTTCACACTGTCCAAGCAAGTCACATAAATAAATTAAAAACGAACCCCACGTTTCCTTCTATTTATTTATTATGGTATGATATTATCAACTATTTCATACTGGCCTTTATTTTTCTATATAAATACAACACAACACGAAGCCTCCTCATCTTGCACTGATCTCCTTCCATTTCCCAAACAACAACACCTCCATCTCTGAATCATTCATCAATGGAAGTAAATAAGGAACTAGCAGAACCCTATCTCTCTTCGTCTCTTCCCATCCCCTCGATTACCACAAGGTAAGAGAGACATGAATATTAGGAATTAATTATTTATATTTACATCTTCAAAATGTATATATGTTTATTTGTAAGGTGAAACAATTTTTATGTGTTTGTGCAGATGGTGGTCTAAGGACACAGTTGCAATAGTCACAGGAGCTAACAAAGGGATAGGGTTTTCCCTGGTGAAGCAACTTACTGAACTTGGATTGACTGTGATATTAACAGCTAGAGACGTAGAGAAGGGAAACAAGGCTGTTGAATTGCTAAAAAGTCATGGTCTGCTTGTACACTTCTACCGCCTTGATGTCTCAGATCCTGCTTCTATCAAAACCTTCACTTCGTGGTTTCAAAGGAAATTTGGAGTGTTGGACATTCTTGTAAGTTATTTTCCTCTCTCTTTTTCTCATACTTTCTTATTTCTTAATATATACTAGCCAGTGTGATATGAATCCAGACTTTGTAAAGTTGGGGAGGGTACTGGGCAGAATGTATCGTCTTGTTTGATTTTGGGAAGGGAGCATCTTTCAGAAGTACCTTAAAAATCTTATAAATTTATGGAGGATTTTGGAAATGTTTCAAACTTTGGAGGACCTTGCCTCCCCCAGGCCAAATTCGTTCTTGACACCAATCATCAGGGGAGTGATATAGATGATCAGTACAGGAAAAATATGATACTTAAGTTATGGCTAATTATATAAAGTTTAAAATCTTTTATTTCCATAATGGGCTTTATTTTCTCATGGAATATGATTTGAATAGTAAATTTAGCTGCACAAAATCCAATTTTTGAAACTCACCAAAATTGGTAGAAATAGGTTTCGTTTTCAACATTAAGCTACTTCAATATGAAAACTAACCTGTCAAATCATATGATCACGAGAGGCTTGTACTTAGTTAATTATTATTATTATTATTATTATACTTAAAAAACTCCTTCGTAGGTGGTAAAATATAATATTGTTTATGCACATAAATTAGGCTTAGAGTGTTAAATATACATTTCCATGTCTATCTCAGCAGACAACAAACAAGAGTTAATTATAAATTAGTCCCTCTTTTTCAAGAAACCAATTAATAAGTTTTCTCAAAACCTAATTATTTAATCTTTTCAACTAGTGTTGATCACTATCAATTTGATATGTTTTTATTTTATGAAATACATCCTCTTCTTATCAATCCTTTCATAATTTTTACTTATTTTTTTTATTTCTCAAAAAAAAATAATTTAAAAATAGCACAAGGATTAGATGATTGAGTTTTGAAATCAAGATGACTAATTAATTTATTTCTTAGAATCGAGGGACTAATTTATAATTTACCCCAACAAACAAATTGTAAGAAAAGACAAGAGATAGCTACTTTATACCTAAAATTTATGGAAACTGACGTTTTCTGTAACTAACATTTGATGACTTTTTGGGCTTGTCTTTTTCTTTCTTTCTTTTTTTTTTTTTTTTTGGTTCTTTTATGGGTAATTAGTATTACTAATTAGTAACGAAATTATAGGTTGAAGATGAGGTGAAGACTTTGGAAGGGCACAAATCTTGAAGAAAAGTCCCGTTAATTATATAATTCACACTTTATGAATGATTAATTTTTTTGATTGTCAATAATTGCTAAGCATAATTGACTTTTTTTTCTTTTTTTTGTGATAATTTTCAGGTAAACAATGCTGCTGTATCATTCAATGACATTTATGAGAACTCAGTGGAGCACGCAGAAACAGTGATAAAAACCAATTTCTATGGGGCAAAATTGCTCACTGAGGCCGTCTTGCCAATGTTTCGTCGATCAGATTCCATCAGCAGGATTCTTAACATTAGTTCAAGACTTGGTTCAATTAATGTGAGTTAATTATTATTATTATTTTAATATAAGTCATGTGGTTCTATTTTTATTAACTTTAATAACATGATCTTTTCTATTTTAATTACAAACCAAAAATAAAAAATATCTTTTTTTTTTTGGGTTTTAAGATAATCAAAAACCAATTATCAAAACTTTTGAAAACCAAATAAAATGAATCTCAAAAATTGTATAGGTGGTAATTAGTTTTAATTTTTTTCAAAAAAACATATATATTGTATTAATGTATAGACAAAATATTTATTTCACCAAAATTAATTAAGGATACATTTCTGTTTTCAGAAGATGAGAAACCCTAAGATAAAAGAGATGCTTCTAAGTGAAAAATTATCAGCGCAGCAGATTGAGGGAATGGCGAATTTGTTTCTTGAGAATGTGAAAAATGGGACTTGGAAAAACCAAGGCTGGCCTGAAATATGGACAGATTATGCAGTTTCAAAGGTGGCATTAAATGCATATTCTAGGGTTTTAGCCAAACAATACGAGGGTTCTGGATTAAGTGTGAATTGTTTCTGTCCTGGCTTCACTCAAACGTCAATGACCGGCGGAAAGGGAACTCACACCGCAGATGACGCTGCTCAAGTTGGTGTTAGGTTGACCTTGCTTCCTCCTGAGGAGCTGTCAACTGGGAAGTTTTATATAGGGTTTAACACCGTCACTAGTTCTAAATTATAGATTGATTAATTGTAATGAAACGCTCATAGTTTTGGAGAATTAATTATTAGTGCTATGTTAGAGAATGTTAATCCTCTTTTTTGTTTAACTTTTGAGAGTTTGGTTGCTACTTAAGATATGTGTGAAAATTTTCAATTGAAATGTATAAAAATTAGTATCTAATCTCGATATGTTGCAATGTTAAACCGAAAATACCACTTATAATATAAAAAAATTACGAGGCTGCAAGTCAAAATATAACAATTTAGTCATTATCACATAATTAGGGCTTTTTCAAAAGCCATTTGCGTCCTACCAACTCCTTACCATTTTATATTATATTATGACATCGTGGCTATCTTGATCTTAATTAATTAGTTGATTAATTTTCAAAGTACGTACAAAATATCACATTTATATACAGTACCGATAACAGTAGCATGACCAAGCCAGCTAGATAGATTCCAAGAGACACTCAACTTGACTCAACCTTAATTAGTAGAGCTGACAGCTGACCCTTTAATTAATTGACTTATTTAGTCACCATCAAGTGATATAGTGTAACGATAATGGTAAAAAAAATTATTTTGATTCGATAAAAATCAAGATTTAAATATTATTATTTATGAATAATTAATTATAATTATTCTTTAATGATATTATTTTAGATTCAGTGTTCTAACGTTGGTTTAGTCTAAAAACTAATAAATTTAATTTAAATTGATGCAAAATTTGATCCAAAAGCATATTATTATATGTATATATTAAAAAAAAAAAAATTGACTTGCTGAGTCTCTCTCACCCATACATCATAATGCAATATAGAGTGAAACTCGTTAAATATGATTTATTATGTACAAATCTGACCATGCTCGATAAAAAAAAGCTCTAGGACTTGACTGAAAACAAAGGGTGGAACCCATTTTTTATTTTAGAGTAAATGGGTCTACTATGAATAAAATTTCGCACCATTAGCTAGGATTCTTAATGCTCTTAAAAAAGAAAATAAAATAAACAGCAACAACATATATATATATATATAAACGATAACAAAATTCAAATATGATCATGATCTTAGACTGAATAAATTTTATTTTTTATTTTTTTTCAGTACCTGTCAAGCTGGGCAGTGTGAAACTTGTCAAACTTGTATTATGGGTCAACAAAAAGCATATGCAAGACGGTGGAATAAGTCATGCATTTTTTTCAAAGTGAAAGGAAATCTAGAGGAAATGGAAGCATTAATTTTTATTCCCTTGTGATTGCACGTGAATATACAGGATACCAAAAAGTATACCAAAGTAACGTCGTCATTTTTCCAACCAAGTTAGATAGTTTACTTTAATCAGATTGGCATGGAGGATGAGCAAGCAAAATTAAAGTAAACTTTTAAAGACATTTGTTTCAAAGAGTTAGTAAAATAAATGTTATGATAGATATACATTATAATGTATAACGGTTTTTCAAAATTATCGTTTATTATAAATCTTAAATTAACGGTATTTTTCTTAATTTTAGCGGATATTGTCGTATATTTTTATACCAACATATAATGTATAACGGTTTTCCAATGGTGTTTATTATAAATTCCATTTTATAGCATTAGTGGTTGTTGATGGTAATAACAATAGACAATACGAGATTTTGAAGGGGCTAAGTTTTTTAGAGTAATGAAATTTTTGAAAGTGATTGAAAAAAGTAAAATTGCTTGGTGAATCATAGACATTAATTAATTTATGTTATGGGATGTAATAAAATTTTGTTATTAAAAAGCAATAAATTGTTTGTTTAGTAATAAGTAAGTTGATCTTTAAATAAATTTTTTATTAATATACATGATTCGAATTCTTAAATCGTACTTTTAAAAAAAAATTAAATTTTATCACTCGTTCCGATTATAATTAGTCTTATCTTTAACGTAGAATGAAAATAACAAAAAAAAATTCTTATAAAAATATAAATAATAACACTAATGTTTGAATGATATATATATATATATATATATATATATATATATATATATATATATAAATAAACATGAAGCCTTAAAGCTCCAAAATAGAGCTATGGGAGCTTTAGACTTTTACATTGATCATTGATTGTGGATGTTGACATCCACAAACACCGTTGGAAAAGCCTACCACAGATCCATACTAGATACGCCCGTAATTAATGCATTTATAACTGAGAATTGAGACTCAATTAATTGTTTCCAACGTTCGCAAACAAGAAAATCATGAACAAGGAGATATTTGTTGATTGGTGAAGGCAACCTCTTGCTTCAACAATGCATGAAACAAGAGGGAGACACCACAGACATGGGGAACTGATATAAAAAATTAACGTTTGAGTCACTAAAATTAAGGAGACACCCCATTTTTATCAGCTCAAGTCGTGAGATTGACATATCAATTGATTGCAAGCTTGGAATCTTCCCACATGATCACTCTACCTTGCTGCAAAATCTGCCACCTACATTAATACTCACATCTGCCTACTATAGCCATTAATATGGTCGGTTGTGATTAGATCAAGATCCTCCGAGACCAATCATGAAAGGCAAAGCCTAGAATGTGGGTTTTTTTAATGAGAAATCCTTGAATCCTAGACTATATACTGAAAGATAGCGTTTCTACGTTACATAATAATTAAATATATAAAAATAATTAGAATTCATATCTGTTTCGCTAAAAAAAATGTCTATTTGAATTTGTTTTATTTAAAAAAAATTACTGAATACACAACCTCTAAGTTGTGTTTGCTTATATCTAAATTTGAGGGTTTTTTTTTACCTGAATTTTAGGCTACATAATAAAAAAGTATATAATAATCAAATAAATTAAATTATTATAATTTGAACTAGTTTTGTAAAAAAAAAAAAAATCTATTTATTCGAATATATTTTATTGAAAAAAATTATCGCATACACAATCGCTAAATTATACATGTAAAATGTGGCCAAAGTTGTGGCGACTACCGATTCCTTCTAATAAGGTGAAGAATTTTCATGGCCTGCTTTTAGAAATATGTTGGCAACTAAAACAAACTTGCAGAAGAGAGGAATGGAGGTGTAGCTAACCTGAAGAGGAGAGGAATGGTGTCATGCTATATGGGATACAATGAGTGAGGAAGCGTTTAGCTTTTTTTCTATGTACTGCTTAATTGGTGTTTGTGGAAGGCGAGAAATACAAGAATTTTTCAGGAAAAGATCACAGTGATGCCTCAAATTCTCTATATATGGCAAAGTCACTCTTCAATTATTATCTTGCTGAGAATTGTCCCACTGAGAACTCCAACAGGTTTCAATTAAATGTGACTCGATGGGTACCTCCTGACGCAGATTTGTTTAAAGTGAATGTTGATCGATGCTGCTATTGGTATTCAAAATGGAGTGGGATTTGGTTTGGTTGTAAGGAACAACATGGGACAAGCATGTAATGCTATCTGCTTCTCTTTTCCAAAACTCCATGTTTAATCCAGAGGTGGCAGATGCTATGGCAACTCATGCAGGTTTGGTTTTGGCTAGAGATATGGGATATCAGCATGTTATACTGGAATCGAATTGGCTACATGTTCAAGCTTTTAATCACAGGGCAAATGTACATGCGGATGCTGGTTTTATCATTGAAGATCGTGCTCTGTTAGTATTTTTAATTTAAATAGAGAGCATCATTAATTATATATATTGAAGATCAATATCTTCTTCAATGTTACTCTCTACTTTAACGCTTTATTTTGACAAAATCCATAAAATATTTAATTCTGAAATTTTTTCTCTTTTTTTCCGTTAATCTCCCTACATACGATTGGTGAAAAGGTCGAGTAGTATAAGAAATAGTAATTTTCATTAATGAAATATAAGATAAGGAGTCATTTGAACTCTCTATCATTGGAGAGCCAAAGACACTTTGTATCTCACTTTTAAAGATAGAGATTGTGATAAAGAAAGCATTGGAGATGAAATTTGGATCAAACCTCTTTATTATAAAGAAAAATTTTAATATAAAAAGAGCATTAGAGATGCCTTAAATACCCATTTTTTTATCTTATTAATAACCATTAATTTTTATTTATTTTTTATTTATTAACATATAGGAATCTCATTGCATAACATTTTGAAATTAAAGACCAAAATATTTTTCTCAAAAACTTTAAGAATTAAAAAACTTATAAACAAATGACTAAAATACATAATAATAATAATAATAAATAAATAAATAAAAACCAATTTTTTTCTAAAGATTATAGAGACTAAAATAAATATTTTTGATAAATTATTTTTAAAAAATATTAAAAGGATAATAAATAGATGGATAAACTAATATCGATTTAGTATAAGTTAGATAAAGATTTATATAACGATTTTTTAATTGATAATGAATAAGATATATATTTTTTTTATGAATACGATAAACTGTCCATTGCCATCTCTAGATCATTCCATCATCTTTCGGTTATCCTTTTGTAACGAAGGATTATCCTTCTTTTGTTTAATCTTATCATCGATTGAATTTCTTAAGAAAAAGAGGGAAAAAAAAAAAAAAGCAAGAAGAGGAACTTCTTCTTTTAGCATGACACAATAGGCCCATCATCCAACCCGTCAAATTTTGAGTAACAGGTCATTTTGGTTTGAAGCCATTGAATTTTAAGCTAGTAAAACGGTTAAACAGGAATATTAGTCACGTTCAAAAATCTTCAATGTAAAGGCAGACATGACATTCAACACCATTCATTTCTCTAATGTAATTGAAACACAATTCACCCAATAAAATTCGTACAAATATTATATTTTTACATTTTAATCTAAAATTTAAGATATGGTAGTTAAAAAAATAATACTCTTTTTTTTTAAAAAAAATCTTAATCATGAAGCTAGCTTGCCTCCAGTTATCAAGGGACGGATAAATTATTAGATATTTTCAGAAAAATAATTTTCAATTACGTAAAAAGGAAATTTGTAAATATTATCATGGTGGATCTTATTTTCATGGGAGGGGAGAAAAATAGTACTAAATTACCTAATAATTTCTCTCATGGAAGTTAGTGAACAACGAGACTGTTCATCAATACTTCTGGTAAACTAGACCTAAGTAAGAGAAAGGCCCAAATAACAGATTCCTAGCCCATAACTCAATCAGCAAAAGTAGTTATAAGATGGGGCTGGCCCATATTGCGTTATAGAAGGCCCAACAATGACAAGCAGATTAACTTGTCGGGCCAGTCACCACCTGTTCACGCTAGCAATTCTCAAGAATACAAGAGGAAACCATTAAAAATAAAAAGAAAAATCACAGTTATTAGGGTTTATTAAAGGTTTTGTGCTTCATCTAAACAATCCTACTATTTCAGGTTACGTTCTCTCATTTAATCTGCAATTTTGTTTGGCTACTGGGAAAATCTAAGAAAAGGAAAGAAGTCTGCCATGTTTTCTTGCTTATTTTGCTAATTCTGGTTTGATTGATCTGTTTCAGAGCGTAAAATTTAATTTTCAGTTATTGGCAAGTTAAAATCAACATGATGGTTAAAACCCAGATTTTTTTTCCATTTTTTCTCTGTTTTTAGGAGGCAAGGTGTTGATTAAGTCTTAGCGTTGGAATGATTTGTGTTTTATTGTTGAACTTATTGAATGTTGGATTCCAGATTTTATACGGTCCAATTGGGTTTTGTTATCATTAATAGCAGGCCAATGAATGATTTCTTTAGGAATGTTTTAATGAGGAACAAATATTTATGTTGCATTTCTGCCGAGGAAGGATTTTTAATTGGCGTTTGGATTCTCAAATCGAGAGTCATATATTTAACTATATTTTTTTTTCATTTTTTGAAATCGAATTATAAGAATTATTGAGAGATGTATATTTGTGAACTGATTAGTAGGTTTCAACTTCGAAGCTATATTTACATGTTCCTACCAGCTGTTTTTTTTATTAGAAACATATTTGTGATGGAGAGAACTATTGAGTTCAATTTGAAATCATTTTTATGTTGGTAAGCTTCTCATCAAACACTAATTTATTGTGTTCTTGCAAATTCAGAGTTTAATTGCAAGCAGTTTCAGGATTTGTAGAGATCTATTGAGTCCATGGCACAATTGATTTCAGTTTAACTGTTGAATTCTATGAATATTGGTTATTCATATCTTGAATTCTGCTGAGTAATATTTTCAGTAGCAGTAGAGAACACCAGCTGTAAATAGGAATGAGTGGTTATATTCCATTTTTGCCAATGAAAGAGTTTGAATCTGGTTTGCTTCCCCGGCAGCATCTTTTGTTGGCCATGAGAGGTTTGGAATAACCTTATGATGCTTGGCAGATTGATTCATTTATTTCCTTTCCTACTTTGCAGCTTTGGCAGTATAACGCCATATCTGCTACAAGTTTCAGTTACAAGATGGCAGGATTTGGTGGCCTTGCACCCAAGACCAAGAATCTGGTAGTTGCTGGAGGCTTGTCAGCATTTGTTTTCGGGGTGTATTTCTACACCATGAGAGCTGTTGGCGGGACAGACGAACTTCAGACGGCAATTGATAAGTTTGAACAGCAGAAAAGCAAGCAAGAGTCTGAGGCAACCATCCCATCAAAGGCTTGACCTTATGATCCTTGCCTCCTTGGTGTAATAATGTAATCTGAAACAAGGCAAAGGTTAGTTTTGTGAATGAGCTATTTCTACTTGTGATTTTGCAGTTTTACTATACTTATCACTGTGATGATGGAAACATGGGAGTGTAACTTGAATCTGACTTTGCATGTCAGTGTTCATTAGCTCATAAAATATCTTGCGACTTGATACAAACAAGGTCGTTAGATTGGTGTAAGCAGTCTTTTGTTACAAAATAAAGTATGGTTTTTCCTTATAATCTTTTTATGGAAGATTGGTTATATCAGGAAAGGTGATTCCATACCAATTGGGAGTGGTTTGCAGGTTTAACTTTAGCCTATTCTACCATCCCTTCATCTTAGAAACAAATTTGTACAAAATGTTCTCTGTAGTCTATTGAATAAATCGGGTTTGATACTGCTGCATAGAATATCAAGTCTATTTATATGATTTGTTGATTTTCCTAGCATTTTCTCTAGGTTCTTGTTTTGCTTATCAATCATGGATATGCAAAAGTAGAGTTGCTCTAAAATCTTCAATGAGAATGTTTCTCCATCCAAACTCAAATGTGCTCTTTGCACTTATTTCAACTTGTTTGGGTGACTTTAGCACTTCCACAATGCCACTAAGTTTCACTTGTAGAACACTGTAGTTGAGTTGTAGTCTATTAACATGCCAAGATGCCGAAAGCTCTGTAATGTCTGCATTGTTTTCGGTAAAATTGGATTCCGCATGAGACATCATTTGTATGAATTTGGCATGAATAGACTAAACCAATAACATTAAAGCCAATACAGTTTGATCGGTCCCTTTAGGGGAACCTGATTAATATCCACTTGGATCTCTTCCAAACGGCAATAAGACCATGTAGATGCTGCTAACTTCGAAGTTCATGCCAGACATGGGACCTTGCTTATTCCTTTTGGAACCAGATTAGAATAATAGCACAACTATCTTCTAAACTGAAACTAGTTCCATAAAGAATTATGATGTAGCCTTGACAGTGAAGGAGAATTTTCATAATGTTTCTTATAAGAAGGCCAGCTTACTCGGAAAATATCGGTATGTTCTTCAATTCTGTTTCGATTCAAGGCAACTCATTATTGCGCTATTTTTGACATTCCAACATAAATCCCAACTGTTCTATCATTATAAGCCGCATTGATCCCAGCTTCCTGAATTGTGTGCCCCATGATCATCCATCCCTACAGCAACCGCAGGCACATGTTCCAAGACGAAAAAATCACAGCTTTTTCCACCCAGAAAATTTCCTCTACAGCAACCACAACCCCACCCCCACCCACCCACCCACCTCCGGCGGAATTCAATTTACAAAACCATCACAAATATTTATGAGCAATGGGTCGTTTGAACTGAAATGGAACTAAACTTCTATTTTATCTTTTTGTGTGGTAGGAGTTTCGGACTTCCAACATGAAATTTAAGATTCAAATCCCACTTCTCACACCTTTTATGGTCACCACAGGGTTTATGCCTTTTTTTTTTTTTTCATTCCAAGAGCATGGATAACTTGAAACTTTGATTTTAAAACCAATTCGTATGTAGTACTTGAATAATTGTTAGTTCTAGAGTTATCAAAAAAAAAAAAAATGTCTATCAAGGCCGACTCTAAAATCAACGAATAAATTTGCCAACGCAATCATAAATAAAAAACAATATGTAGAGTATTTTCAAGCCAATTTACTCGTCAATAAAAAATAATTTTAATTTTTTTTTTAATGACTTTAAAAATATACTTTTATATCGATATGATTCATTCAAATTTAAATGACTTTAAAAATATATTAATCAATGCAACTAAGCCGTCAGACAAATCAGACAAATATTTAGGAGCAAATAAGTTACCATTGCTTCTCTATCCAAAACATTACCATATCCACCTAATCAACAGTGAAAAATAACCGATTCCTCAGATTTTATTCGTTTCAGATGTGTTTGTTCATCATGGAGGACTGCTGCCAAGCAACAACAGCAATCCTTGCGTGAAGGATTTCAAGGCTTCAGAACTGGAAAACGCAAAAGTTTCAGCTTTATACCTATGTCAAGAATAAATCTACATTGCCGCATTCTCCCTACCTTCCCTTCCTTGTGTAGATACATCCATGAGAAAGTCGCTCATAAGAAGGGTTGTTTTCTCTTCGAGTCCTTCAACCCTGAACGTTTTTATCTTTCTTTTTCTTGGTCCAGTCCCGGCCTTGGCCTATTGCAGACGAGGAGATGGAAATTGGATTGATACAAGTAATGTGATTCCATCACCCGAAGCTGATGATTGCTTTGATGCTATCTATTACAAGGCACAGCTTTATGTTTTACACTTGAGTGGAAAATTGTTTGTTTGCGACCTCATTGCTTCTCCTCCAAAAATTAAAGAGCACATATATGTGTTTCAGACCTTTCTTGGTTGATGAGTTCTAAAAGCTTAATTGGTAACATTGATTACCATATTTTACCTTTTATCTTCGTTCTTTTTATTTTTATTTCTGATGTCTAGTTCTCCTTTAAGAACTGCAAGGCAAAGAATCACAACGAAATTAGTGGCAGAACACTCCTGAAATGAAATGCAAAACTAAACAATGCTGCCTCTGAGTGACTTTTTTTAACCAAATGATTATATATATATATATATATACACAGCTCAAAACTCCAGAAATTAAATTCTATACAGTTGGTTTAATACACAGTAGAGACAGCTGGTCCAATATAGAGAGACCATCGCTGTGCTAAATCTGCATAGCGTGTTAAATTGCAGGCTTACGAGCTGTATTCACGTCAGTCTCTATAACTTAGGACTAAAGTAAAGTAACTCTAAAATCTTTCATCAGAATTTTATTACATCCAAACTGAAATGTGTTCTTTCCACTTAGTTGAGCTATAAAAATTTCATACATGCTGTACGTGAACATGTCCAGTAGTTTAATTGAACTTCAAGCCTTGCAAGAAAGGTTTTCTTAAAAAGTCTAGAACTACAATTCGACTGTTATAAATTTGATAAAAATTAGATAGCTAAATATTTTTTTATCTTCACGTTGAGCCTTGACTAACCTTGAACTCCTCGAAAGTAGCAGGCCTATTCTTGAGGGAAGCCATGTTGAAATAAAGGTCAGGAACAGAACAGAAATCCAACGATTTCTCCATCTCTTTTGAATTAAATTAAAAAATTTGTAAAATCAAAATAAATAAATTATAATAGACTCTTTTGAAATATTATAAAATTATCTTATAGTTTTCCTATAGATTTTTTTGCGCTCGTTCACACCTACTCTTCCGGGAACTCGAATGGTCGCGGGCGTCCCTCATCTCCAAATACTTAAAAAGTGTATTTTTCGAGCCTAAACGTCATTTTTTGGGAAAAATCACCCCGAGATCATGGCCAAAGGCAATGAGTTTTTATCGTTGGCTCGTTTGGCATCGAACCGAGTAAAAATTTGCTCAAAACTTGTACGACCATTTTTGAGCTAAAATCTACCTCGACTCACGGTCGAGGTTAGGCTCGAAAAATACACTTTTTAAGTTTTTGGAGATGAGGCACGCCCGCAACCATTCGAGTTCCCGGAAGAGTAGGTGTGAACGAGCGCGAAAAAATCTGTAGAAAAACTATAAGCCCAGCTTGAGGTTTTGGGGACCTACCTCATGGCAAAAGTGACAACCGTCGAGACTCATCGGCCTCGACCGTGAGCCGAGGTAGATTTTAGGTCAAAAATGGTCGTCCAAGTTTTGAGCAAATTTTTACTCGGTTCGATGCCAAACGAGCCAACGATAAAAACTCATTGCCTTTGGCCATGACATCGAGGTGATTTTTGCGGAAAAATGACGTTTAGGCTCGAAAAATACACTTTTTAAGTTTTTGGAGATGAGGCACGCCTGCGACCATTCGAGTTCCTGGAAGAGTAGGTGTGAACGAACGCGAAAAAATCTATAGGAAAACTATAAGCCCGAGTTTGAGGTTTTGGGGACCTACCTCATGGCAAAGGTGACAACCGTCGAGACTCATCGGCCTCAACCGTGAGCCGAGGTAGATTTTGGCTCAAAAATGATCGTCTAAGTTGTGAGCAAATTTTTACTCGGTTCGATGCCAAACGAGCCAACGATAAAAACTCATTGCCTTTGGCCATAACCTCGGGGTGATTTTTGCCAAAAAATGACATTTAGGCTCAAAAAATACACTTTTTAAGTTTTTGGAGATAAGGCACGCCTGCGAGCATTCGAGTTCCTGGAAGAGTAGGTGTGAACGAGTGCGAAAAAATCTATAGGAAAACCGTAAGCCCGAGTTTGAGGTTTTGGGGACCTACCTCATGGCAAAAGTGACAACCGTCGAGACTCATCGGCCTCGACCGTGAGCCGAGGTGGATTTTGGCTCAAAAATGGTCGTCTAAGTTTTGAGCAAATTTTTACTCGGTTCGATGCCAAACGAGGCAACGATAAAAACTTATTGCCTTTGGCCATGACCTCGGGGTATTTTTGCCAAAAAATGACGTTTAGGCTCGAAAAATACACTTTTTAAGTTTTTGGAGATGAGGCTCGCCTGCGACCATTCGAGTTCCCGGAAGAGTAGGTGTGAACGAACGCGAAAAAATCTATAGGAAAACTATAAGCCCGAGTTTGAGGTTTTGGGGACCTACCTCATGGCAAAGGTGACAACCGTCGAGACTCATCGGCCTCGACCGTGAGCCGAGGTAGATTTTGGCTCAAAAATGGTCGTCCAAGTTTTGAGCAAATTTTTACTCGGTTCGATGCCAAACGAGCCAACGATAAAAACTCATTACCTTAGGCCATGACCTCGGGGTGATTTTTGCCAAAAAATGACGTTTAGGCTCGAAAAATACACTTTTTAAGTTTTTGGAGATGAGGGACGCCTGCGACCACTCAAGTTCTCGGAAGAGTAGGTGTGAACGAGCACGAAAAAATCTATAGAAAAACTATAAGCCCAGTTTGAGGTTTTGGGGACCTACCTCATGGCAAAAGTGACAACCGTCGAGACTCATCGGCCTCGACCGTGAGCCGAGGTAGATTTTGGCTCAAAAATGGTCGTCTAAGTTTTGAGCAAATTTTTACTCGGTTCGATGCCAAACGAGCCAACGATAAAAACTCATGACCTTAGGCCATGACCTCGGGGTGATTTTTGCCAAAAAATGACGTTTAGGCTCGAAAAATACACTTTTTAAGTTTTTGAAGATGAGGGACGCCTCGACCACTCAAGTTCCCGGAAGAGTAGGTGTGAACGAGCGCGAAAAAATCTATAGGAAAACTATAAGCCCAGTTTGAGGTTTTGGGGACCTACCTCATGACAAAAGTGACAACCGTCTCCCTTTATATTTTTTTTTATAAAAACATATAAATATTTTATTTATAATTAAAATTTGCTTACTATCATGATGATAAATATAAACCCATATAAAGAATATTTTAAATTAAAAAATATGTTTAGCTTCACATTTTTTTTAGGTTTTATTTTTTTTTTAAAGAGAATGACAGAATATATCTTTACTTTTTTTAATTTTTAATCTTTTCAAAAATTATTTATTTAAATTTGATAAATAAAAAAAATTAAGATGAAAAAAAGTAGATGAACAACATTAAAAAAATAGTTGAAACGTGCCAAAATCTTATGACCTAACGTGTCGAAATATTATGAACTAACGGTGAAATCTTATATATATAAGGTCATGTGTTTTTATGATTATAATCTTTACGTATATATCTTCTCCTTTTTCTTTTCCCCCTGAAGCTTGGAAGATTTCTCTGTTAGATAATATTTCATTTGTTTTATTAGCAATCTTTGAATTGGTTTCATAGTTGAACACAACTATCTGGCAAGTAGATAGGATTCTTAAAATTTGTTTAACAGTTCACACAATCTAATTAAGAGCCGATCTAAGCTTGGAAACCCAAGTAATTAAAATTATGTTTTGATCTCTCTCACCACCTATAGATGTATAAATAACCTCCTGCTTCGTTCTTCCTCATTCCAGTTTCTTTTCCTGGTTGCTTCCTTTGAGGCTGCAAATTGTTGCACTATGGCCTTCTGGTCTGATCACCATGAAGATATCTTATTCTTGATTTAGAGAAAAATAACAAATTTCTCAGATTTTATTCGTTTCAGATGTGTCTGTTCGTCATGGAGGGCTGCTGCCAAGCAACAGCAATCTTTAATCGAAGGATTTCCAGGCTTCATAGCCGGAAACAGCAAAAATGTCAGCTTTATACCTATCTCAGGAATGAATTTACACTCTGATCACATTCTCCCTAGCTTGACTTCCTTGTCACTGCCGGAAAAGAGCTGCTGTGTCGGGTCATACCGAGGATGGTTGGTAATGGAGGATTCGATGTCGAACTTGACAGTCATAAATCCTGTCTCCATGGTTCAATTCTCTCTTCCTCGTCCAAATACATTAAATATATCGATGGGAAAGTCGAGCATAAGAAGGGTTACTTTCTCTTCATGTCCTTCAACTCCGAATGTGTTCATCTTTCTCTTTCACGGTTGCCTTAGCCTATTGCAGACGAGGAGATCGAACATGGATTGATATAAGTAGTGTGTTTCCATCAGTTGAAGTTGATCATTATATAGATGCTATATATTAGGAGGGAAAGCTTGATGTTTTGCACGAACGCGGGAAACTGCTGGTTTGCGACCTCATTGCTTCTTCTCAAAAAATCATTGCATCAGTTCATATTCCACGGCTTTTGAGGTTTCCACTTCACTGGTCTCCTTTTATATTCAGTGTACCGCATTTTTAATCAGTCTCGTTCGAAAGATGTTTCTTGGTGGAATCAGGCGGAGAATTGCTGTTAGTACACTGCCAGAAATACCTTAACCCTAATACTGGTAATGGCAAAGCTAGTAGCTTTGAAGTATACAAATTCAATACCAACGTCAAGCGGCGGGATCCTGTGACGAGTTTGGGTGAATACGCCTTGTTCTTAGGACGTGGCCAGTCATTTGCTTTGTCGGAGCTTAAAGTAAGCGGCATGAAAGGGAACCACATATATTATGCAGAAGATTTCACTGATCCTTGTTCTATCAGAAAACTTCGACCATGTGACGGAGATAATGAAATAATTGTATACAGCTTAGAAAACTCAAATCTTGAGTTTCTCCAGAGTCCATTCCCATCAGAAAAACCATATGGAATGTGGTTCACCCCAAGCTTGGGTGGGAGATGAAGGTGGCACTTTGGCGTAGTAGTTCACATAGACGGACTCAGATCTTAATTTCTTGAACATTTGCTACCATATAAACTATGTTTTTCTTCCTTTTTTATTTTACATAGAGATTCCCTTTGGTGATTTTCAGTCAGGTAGAAAGTCAAATTCTCGGAATTCCATCGACGATATCTTTTGGCTCTCCTAATCCAACACGCAAATAAGCCAAATTCTCAAACTCCTCCAACCCTAAATTATTCAGCATTCATAAGCTCAAAAACTATTCTACAATTAAACGACGATGTAAAGTCACCATCAAACGAACTAGCATTTTAAAGCTAACATTGACAAAAAAATGTCCATCATTGGAAAAGGATAGCAGGGATTGCAGAGAAGGAAAAACAAAAGTTCCCAAGCCATCAATTAATTTGTGCTTGTTTTGTTCCATTATCTGGAATCAACAACCCTTCCTATCAGAATCGAAATAAGATTTAGTAATTTTTTTTTTTTTTTCCTGCTACAAAGGGTTTGAGGTCAACTCTCATAACTCTAAATTCCTGTTGATATCCAAAACATCAGGCAACTCATTGTACACTCCTTTGACATTCCTAGGTTAGTCCCAACTCTTCTATTATTAGAATCCACATCAATCCCAGCTGCTGGAATTTTATGGCCCATTATCATCACCTTAATTAACCCCTGCTCCATAACCACTGCATTGTCAAATTCTGCAATGCAGCTATCCTGGCTCTAATGCCATAAAAAGAATCCTAGTTTAACAACAAGGAGAGCGAAAGGAATTCCAACATAGATATCCTCTTGCTTTCCTAGTCCAACACCCTAACTCTTCATTTCATTTAGTTACATAAAGTACTGTGAAACATTACCAATAAGCTAAATTCTCAAACTTCTCTAACCCTATATTAATTGCATACCTAAACTGGCAATGTATTCGATCTCTTAAAAAAAAGAAACGATAGCATTGATGAAGAAGTCCAACATAGAAGATTAGTACAACATGCGGTAGCAAAGTAGGAAAAACAAATAGCGACCCTACGCCTAGCAGAATCATTATGGTTCTAATTTTGCATCATAGGGAACATAGCTAAACCAACATGGGTGAGCTCAGGTTGGATTGGCATGTTGAGATCAAAGGTTATCACTTTTGCAGGTATCTTCAAACCTCTGTCAATCAACTTCACGTTCTTTAACCTACTCAATGGAGAAGTTTGCTCTAACAACCGTAACATTGGCTAAGGCCTAGAAAAATCAGCATCAAGAATCTGCATCGGATACACAAAGTGAAGAAAATTATGAATTGAAATGATCTGACTGACTGTACTCAATAGCAAAGGAGAGAAATGTGACAGCATGTGCATTTCGAATCTCTTGCAACAACTTGAACTAATAGTCATAAATATTGGAATTCTCTTAACATTTTCTTCTTCTTTAGTATTTGAACATCCACTGGTTTCCATTCAGAATGTATGACACAACCAATGTTCGCGCATTTGCAGAGAAGGGAGATTAATCACAGAGAAATCCAAAACCTCTCCCCCAATAATTGTGAAAAAACGTAAGATTTGGTGCAGAAATTTCCACCTTGCCACATTCTACAGATTCCATATTTAAGTTTACAAGTGTAGGTCCTCCTAGTACTTTCAATCAAAACAATGAACCCCAGGTATAAGTTCACCAGATCTGGACATTCCGCTGACAAATCTAAGTATTTTTTAACATTGGGGTAACAAATAGGCCAACAGCACCATTCAAGATGCAAAGTTGCGAGTATTGGGAAGCCAAGCAATTTCAGTGACTCGAATCCCTTTAACTTCAGGTGTTTCAAGGTTCGACTCATTGAAAGTGCAGCAGGGTCCAGTTTGGTACTCAAGACTTATATATTATTCACAGATAAGATGCTGGATGTGGTGTAGTTGACAACTGAATGGGTGGAGGATGAATCCCTACACTCATGGTGCTTCAGGCGAAGTCTGCTTACTGTTGATATGTTGTTACCTTCACGTTGAGCCATGACTAGCTATGAATTTCAGGAAAGCACACCAGTCATTGAAGTGATTAAGGTTGAAATTTAGGTTAGGAACAGAAATCCAGACATTTGGATAAAGTGGTCTGATAGATCACTCAGTCTGTCCACAGCTCCTCCTGGTGCCATAGACTTGTTAGAAGAAGAGGATGGAGGATCCCTATGAATATTAGTTTAAGCAGAGAATGTTAAACCTAAAGTTTAAATGGAAAGATTAGTTTAAATGGCAATGAGTCAGGTTAGGTGGGGTTTTTATATCCCATCTTAGAAATTGGGACCTTTCAGGACTGTTTTGGTCTTCAAGTTACAAGAAGGCCACTGTTCAGAAAAGACCAATCAACCTCTACGATGCCCTGGCACAAAATTCTCAATTATCCCATTAATCCAATCCATACTCAGACATTCATGAACAAAAACAGAATGCCCAACGACCAAGATGGTCAAATTATTTGCTACAAAAGGTATTCTCTATGGCTCACTTTCAGCAATGCAGCTAGCCTTGCTTTGATCTTGTTTGACATCGTGAAAAGTTACAGGAATATAACCTATAAAAGATATTATTTGGTTTCTCCAATCCAACGCACAAGCTCTTCATTTCATTACCCAAAAAAAAAAAAAAAATACCAACGATCCGAATTCTTAACTACTCAAAGTTTCAAACACTAATTTAGTCAGATGCCTAGCTAAAATCACCTAGCAAAGTCATAAGTTGGAAATTTATATATTCTGCAAACAATAAAAAGTAGGGCAAATTTTACAAGAAAAACAACTTCGTCGATTAATAAAGACAAAATAGAAAAACAACGAGGGATAGAGGCAATGAGTCATGTTTTCTGTCATTTGAGCAGGCCCATGTTTTCCTTACAATCTTAAGGATAATCATTTCGGAACTCAGTAAGCACAGTTTCTACACAAGAAGATCCACTGAGTAAATAATTCAGAACTTTTGTAGGTATCTTCAAAGGGTTGTCACTGTCTATAAACTTCAAGGACTTCAATCTGCTGAAGGGAGAAGGTTGAACCTCTATCATATCCATAACCATAGCTAAAGCCTGGACAATTCAGCAACAAAATTCTATTCATGTCAGTGTCAGATCATAAGCATGCAGAGCTGAAATTACCTTTTAATATCTCAAAAAAAAAAAAAAAAAGTGAAGAAATTATGAAGGCAGATTGTACCGCTACAGAAGAAGTGCATAGTGTAAGAGACTGCATTTTGAAGCCCTCGAAAAAATTTAAGCATATTTTCAGCGAACAACCACTTCATCCCCCACAAATCTTTCAGTATTTGAACATCATTTTGTTTCCATCTGCCGTCACAGAGGACACAACCCACTTCCGCGTGTTTCAGAGAAGGGAGGTTTATCGCAGAGAAATTCAATTCTGTCTCCCCTTTAATTTTCAAGACCATAAGCTTTGGTGCAGAAATTTCCACCTTATGATCACAACCTACCCCGTTCATAGTTAAGTTGACAAGTTTAGCTCCTGATATTTTCAAAACCTTAAATCTCCAAACAAAACAAGAGCTCAGGACCAGATTGGGACACACCGCTGAGAAATCAAAGCATTCAGTGTCGGAATGCACACCATACGGCCACCAGCAGTACTCAAGATGCAAAGTTGTCAATTTGGATAACTCTAATTCATTTAACCTCAGGTTTTGCAAAATCACCCTAAACGCCCCCTTCACGAAAAGATGATCGACACCATGAGATGCAGCATAATGATCTAGAACCATATTGATGTAAGATGATGATGAACGCTTATCTAAGAACTCTTCAGGGTAACACATACTAAGTCTGTTTACTTGTAGTATATTGTTAGCTTCACGTTGAGCCATGACTTTAATAAAGAATTGCTGAAAATTACTTTGGCGGTGGTTAAAAGAAGCCATGTCGAAAGTAAGGTCAGGAACAGAAATCCAAAGATTTTTCCATCTCTTGGAGAGGATTGAGGTTTGGACAGATTGTCTAGTTTCGAGGAAGGAGAGGATGTGTTGGACAATGTGGTCTGGTATTTGCCCTTATCAATAATACTGCAGAATGTTGCCATGGCAGTATTGAATGGAAAGACTAGTTGAGGAAGGCGATATAGATGGAGGCTCTATATTTGTATTATAATTAATCTGCCCTAGTACAAGATATTTGTATTTAACTAGGATGCCAACTCGTCTTTATATAACTTTATTTATTTATTTATTACAATTAGTTAAAAAAAGAAGAAGTTATATCCTCATAGTTTATGAAAAACACTTGTTAGAGGAAGAGGATGGAGACCCTAGTAGTTATAATTCACCAGCCTAATTAAGACATGAATTATGAGTTTGAATGACGAAATTTTTTACTTTATTATTATACTGTATTTAGTCTGGCATTTGTCCTGTCCAACGGGTAGTTGGTGCTGACTCAAATAGGAAGTAGGATCGAGTCAGATTTCTATCCCTAGTATTTAAATATTTTGTTAAGGAAAAAAGAATTAAGAAAAAGATTTGAAGTCGTCACCTAGTATTAAAAGTAATTAGGAAACCTAAAAAGATCATGGGACTCAAAGATTCTTTGGTAAGCAGTTAGTTATGCTTTTAGAAAGATAACAATCACTCAAAAGCATCTTTTTTGAGAAAAAGTACCAAGTTTAGTTTAATCTTAAGAATATCTTCTCAAAATTATGTTTTGTCAAATTATTCCCTAAGTCTATTATATATTGAGTTTTTCCAGTCACCTGAAACTGGTAATAATTAAAAAAATCAAAATCAATTATTGAATAATTTAAAAGAGACCCACTTTAGCCACATTACCCATTAGGAATCTAAATAGGAAAAAAAAATCAAAAATTAGATATTCGAATTTCAGTTTTTTCTTTAGCTAATAACTTCCCCTTTGCATACAGTATTTTTATACATACTGCTCAAGGGTGTAAAATAGGGCAAAATCATTGAAAAAATGATACCAAATGGGATAGTTCTCATCTCAAACTTTATCCTAGTCTATCTCTCCTGCAGTTGATACAAAGCAATCTTTATAGACATAAAATTATTGAAGTGATTTTGCTGTGTTAGGATAGCAAGTGCATTTACAGGAGCTGTGAAGAGATTCTAGCTTCAATGTCAGTTTTGCCTAGCAATCATGGCTACACAGAAGCAGAGCAACTCAAAAAATCAGCATCGACTGGAAGTGCTCAGATAAAGAATCAGTTAAAAGTAGAGAGTATTAGAGTCGAGGAAATCGGGATGTTACCCCATTCAATTCGAACATGAACATCCTTCACCATATTTCGTGTCTATTTAAGCAATTGGATGTTGTCATAATGCCGCTGAGTTTCAGTTCCAAAACATCAGCCTAAAAACTTCTATAACATTCTTTTATTTCATTTTGCATTGGAAAACCAATGATAAATTACTATACAGACTTCCTAACATTCTTTTATTTCATTTTGCATTGGAAGACCAATGATAAATTACTATACAGACTTCCTAACATTCTTTTATTTCACTTTGCATTGGAAAACCAATGATAAATTACTATACAGACTTCCTAACATTCTTTTATTCTACAACATTCTTTTAAACAATGTTCACCTGGTTATCCAATGCCAATTTCCACAACGCAACCAGGAAAAGAATGCATGTTCAGCAGGTTCGACGGAAGAAGCATTGATCAGTTTTAAATGCAAGAACTTCTAAGCCTTCACTTCCACTTGTTTTGATCCACTTTCTGGAATCAACAAAGCAAGCCCTTCCTTTTTATCAGCATCCAAATAAGACTTGTGCTTATTCTGATGCAAGGGATTTGCCAGAACCCGTAAATCCAAATTCCGATTAATCTCCAAAACTTCAGGCAACCCATTAATACATCCTTTCGACATACCCACATCAATCCTAACAGCTCTATTATTACATGCCACATTAATCCCATCCTTCTGAATTGTATGCCCCATGATCATCCTCTTCAACCCAGGAACTGTAGCAAGCACATGTTCAAGCATGGCACAATCACAATTCTTCTCTATATCAGAAAACTTCCTCAACCAAACCACTGCATTCCTCCCTTTACAATACCCCGGCGCAGCTTTCCCCATTAACCCACTAATCCAATCTCTAACCTCCTCATTAATCCTCTCCAATCCATACTCAACATGTTTCGCCAACAAGCCACCATGAACAAAAATCGAATCCCCAACAACCAAAACAGTCACATTCTTAGATAAAAACTTATTTGCAATCGGCCCATTAGGCCGCAACGCAGCAATCCTAGCTCTAATACCATGAAGAATATCCGAAGTAACTCCACGAAATGTCAAAGGAATCCCATCATAGATATCCTTTGGCTTTTCTAACCCAACACACAAACTTTTCATTTCATTACCTAAACAATACCAATAAGCCCAATTCTCAAATTCCTTTAATCCTAACTTAGTCACATACCTAAAATCACCTTCTATATTCATAATCTCATGATTCCCATTCATTGTAATAAAATTACCTCCAACTTTCATTGCTTCCCTCTTCAACTTCTCCAGGAAATACAAAATCTTTATCTCTTCGTCACCTCTATCAAGGACATCACCAACTTGCACCACAGTAGCTGACCCACCTGCCCAATTATCAGACCCATCAATCAAACCAGCAAGCCTCAACGCCTGCTTAGATTTTTCCAAATCCCCATGAAGATCACCGATGGCAATGAGTCTATCAGGCGCTGGATACCTTGTTTGTAAAGAAACAGGTGTTTCTTCATGGCGTTTTTGTGAATCTGGAAAATCTGAGTTCGGGTTTTGCGAAGGTAAAAAGAGACCGCCGCTAACTGAGAAGTCAACAAAGGTGTCTACAAATGAGGAGAGGAGATTTGGGATGCCTTTGCATAATGGGTTTTGGTCTTCTTCTTTGATTTCCATTTTCTTGGGTTTGGAAAATTAATTGTGGATTGTGATGGCGATCGATTTGTGGAGTCCCTGGTAAACAGCGGTGACAGAATTTGCAGAGACCTGGGGATGGCGTGGTCGCCTGGTTGGAGAATCAAACGTTGTCAGAATGTATTCAACAAGTAGCTTATGCTATGGCTGCATGATGTTATTCGAGTAAATTATAACTTAGTCCTTATAATTTATCAATAATAATTAATTAGTCCATGTAGAATTATAACTAATTAATTAATCTCTTAATTGATGCTTACCTATTTTTCTTTTCTTTTTTTTTCAAGAAATGAAAATAAATATGAAATGGACAAAAGAATTAAATTATAAAGAAAATTTTAAAAAAATATAGGAATTACGCATGTAGTTTCTAAAACTATAAAGATTAATTAACTATTTTTGGCTAAACTACAGGATTAAGATATAATTTACTCTTATCATTTCTACAATACAAAAAAAACATAAGTGCTTGTCTGACTAAATTATAAATTAATCTTTCAATTTTTTGATAAACTTGTTTCAAAAACTAACTGCTTAGTATTTTATCTATTTTGTATTCTTTTCTAATTTATTTTTTTATTTTAAAAAATAAAAACAAGCATGAATTTTGGTTTTAATTTATTACAAAACTCATTCTAAAAAAATAATTAATCTCGATATATAAAAATTAATAAATTAAAATAAAAACTCTCCAAATACAATAAAGCATTAATGATTCCTCAAATAGGTTAGGGTTGAAAGTGGCCAACCAATGTACAAAGCCAAGCCCATTGGGTTTGGTACTCCGTTTTACAACAAGCAGGCCCAAATCTGACCAACCGGCTTGCTCCTTAAGAAGTCGTCTCCAAAATTCTGCACTTAAACCCCTAAACCCCTATACCCAACTGCCTCATAATCAGAATCCCTAAAATCCCAGAAAGTCTCTTGCTTTTCTTCACTGTGCAGAAATGGCAGATCATATAGCAGCAATGGAAGCACAAATGGTGTCAGAGAGAATGAAAAGGAAGCTCAGTGAAGTCAATTCAGCTGCTCAAGCTCAACTCTCGCCTGTCCAAGATCACATCAATTTCACTCTTCAGGTATTAGCTTTATTTGAAAGTGGATATTAAGTATCTGTGTCGTGCAGTTTTAGGTTTTTTTTTTCCTCGTTTGGGTTTTCTTTCATTTTTTATGGGTATGTATTGGTTTGTTGTTCGGTTGATCAGAAAGTTTGCATAAAGGAAAGAAACTGCAAAGGTTTTTTGTGCTATTTTGGTGATTATTTTTTATATATACTTTATTCAGCTGTGCCTAATGTAGCTTACGGGGATTTTTTTTTCCAATATTTGTGGAGATTTGCTTTTCGTTTTTTGAAATGAAAAGGTTTCAAACTTCTTATTGTTTAATGGGTTTGTTTTGGGGGAGTGAGGAGAAACAATCCGAGAGGTGTTTTTTTTTTTTTTCACGAGTTTGATTTGATTTTTTGAAATGATAATTTCTTGCAGCAAGCATACTTCAAATGTGCATATGACTGCTTTGATAGGAGACGGAAGCAAGAAGAGATAAGCAATTGCGTTGAACATTGCAGTGTTCCAGTTCTTAATGCTCAAAATCACTTTGAGAATGAGATGGCCAAGTTTCAAGTAAGTTTATTTTGTTTCTCAAATGTTTCTTTTCTGTCTTTATAATTTGAACATGAGGCTTTTTGTCATTACGTTAAAGGAACTCTGGATTGGATGCAATTTTATTTTCAAGGTGGTTGACTTCTATATATAAATTGAAAGAGAAAGGAATAGTCTTGCATAGGTTTTCCAAGAAGTGACATAAGTATAGCCATGAGCACTGGGGGAGCGTAAATGGTTTGTTAGTTTGATTCTCATAACTTTCTGTAAAACCAAACTGAATTTCTCCAGATACAAGTGACACCATACTGAATCATATCAATATATGAAGCATATACGCTGAAGCATTTCTGATCATTTTTTCAGTTATTTTGCTACCAATTTGAGGCTATTATTGAAAAGGCAACCTCTTGTTAACAGTTTCATCAATTAAATTGCATCTAAGAAGATATTACATTACTTAGATTACATGACAAGTCAATTAGAAAGTGATTAATAAAAACATTAAATTATATAATAGGCGAGGGACAGTTTGTAATTGCAGATTGTGACATAATCAATAAGATTAAACGTCGACCAATGTTTTGTTCAAACCCCATCTGCGTCTGTCAATAAAAGAAAGAATTTTACAACATTTTAGCTTATCACATATAACCACTTTTGCTGTAGACAGGGATCAACTGACCTCAACAGCATGTAGCTCAGATCCTCCTTGAGTTTCTAGAATTGTGTGGCTTCACTTCTTATGGATCATTAATTGCAATCCTATCTTTCCATTGACTAAATTTTTGTGTTGCCAATGTTGATTAGTGGTGTTCTAGGGGTTTGGTGAGGTAATAGTTACCTCTGGTTGATGTGAGGCTCATGAGATACATTTGCAAAACTTGCATGGAACCATCAATCATGTTTTTTTTTTCGGAATTTGAGCTGTGCGAGAAGCTTCTACTTTGGCTGCAAATGGTGCTTTACATTTATGTTTATAATATTTCTCAAATTGAGAATGCTCCTTTCATGCATTTCCCATAAGCCTCTGGGCTCATGGCAGCTTTGCAGAGTGTTGATTGACTGAACAGACAGCAGTTCTGATTAAAATGAAGCCTCAATAAAACTCATACACATTTGAATTATGTCTAATGAACTAAAACTCATAGACGTCTGAATTATGTCTAGTTAACTATCGTAAGCTCATTAACCAAGTCTGGTTTTCACTGTGGTAGTTAGTACTCTGCTACATGTTGTGTTCATTTCTGGAATGGAATATGGATAGATGTTAGAAATAGTGGAGTGTGCTGGGATAATCATGTAGCTTCCTGTTAGATTACTCGAATAGCATTCTTGGATGTTTTTATACTGAACATAAGATTCTTATACACTTGAAAAGGCCCACGTTAAAGTTTAGGTGATTGAACAGAATTAACTTAATTCAAAAGGTAGAAATGGAACAATTCATTTTCTTTAAGTTGTAACCCTTCACTTTAGATAAAGGAATGTGAAAATTAAGAGGGCTAAAAGTTGGAGTATTACAAAAAATTAAGAAGCTCCATAGCCGAGCCACCATACAAAGGCTTATGTCTCTATCAATCTAAAGCCAATCTTACTAACACCTAGGATAGAAGTACTCTTTCTAAAGAATTAGAAGCTGAGAGTGTTTTGGAGAGTTAATTAGTTTTCATTTAATTAATTTGATAACATACCTGGAGCGTTGTCTCCTCTTAAAGTAATCTAAAGAAAACTAACGCTCTAAAACACACTGAAAACGTGATTCTATTTGAGGGAGTTCTTGTACCTGATGCCTAATTAGAGTTCTTTTACCCAATGTGTCATTAAATTGACTTTCGATTGATGAAGTTACAAGCATATAAAAAGTGCCTTGGCTAAGGACACTCTTACATCAAAGAAGTGAAACTTGAAAGATTTAGGTATTTTATTGTCTACCTATTGAAGTGAGTTATTACCATTATATTATCACCTTATAAAAATCTGAAGATAGAGAGAAAGGAGGGCAAAGGCTAAATCAGAGGGTTCCAGCATCTGCTGCTGTTAGTAGCATTCTCAAGTCACGCATGCTTAACCATCTTCTTGTTTTCTGGTGAAACCTTTCAAATTTTCTCCATTTCATGTATTTTTGAGAACTGTTAAAGTGTTTGGTACTTTCTGTTTGAATGTTTAAGCCAGCATTAAATTCTTGTTCAGCTTGTCCCATATTAAAGTGTTGGCTATGCTTGGAACTAAAGAACCGTTAAAATTCTCACTGTGATCAGGCTTGGTATATGTTTAAAAGTTTCTTGATTTTGTACCTTACATGGACAATTACTATTTTGCCCTTCAAGTTTCAACACTTGTGTTATATACAAAAATGTGCTACACTAGCACTCTGATTGCATATCTTGTAGTTTACATCTGATATTCCTACATATCGCAGTCAGTCCATTGCTTCAAATTAATACCTAATGTTGAGTTTATTTTCAATGCAGGAAAAGTTGAACAGGTCCCTTATGGTCTGCCAAGACAAATTTGAGGCAGCTAAAGCTCAGCAGCTTGGATCTGAAGCTGTAAATGCATTGGAGTCGTGTGTTGACCAGTCAATCCATGATAACATGATGATACTGCCACATCTAGTTGGAAGAATGAAGCAATCCTTTGCCATCCGTGATGAAGCTAAATGAGGGTAGTGACAATTTATTTTTTAACCTTCATTATTTACTTCTAAATTTCTATATTAGTAATGATAATTGATGCAATGTGGAGTTTTGGCCAATACTCCTGTCCGAGAGTGGAAGAGTTTAAGGAGCCATATCGTATGTGCACCTTGTGTTCAATTCTGCTCACCAAATCGATGTTTGGCTTCGGGTTGCATCTTAACACCAGATGGCAGTGAAATGTTCAACATTATTGAATCGAGCATTTAGTTTTTGGAGAAGTAAAAGAACTTTTTTTTTTTTTTTTTGGTGCATTTGATTCTCATTCTTGACATTTTATTGCTGGTAAGGGAGCAAGAAGGTTCACTTGATCAAATTTTCCAGTGTTTGGTGACATTTTGAAAAATAAATCAACCGATAGCATTTGGAAAACATAAGCTTATGAGAGGGGAAAGTGTTTACATCTCTTAAACTTGGAAAAACACTTTCCATTTTACATGTGTTTTGTATGTTAAACATTATTATTTATATTTGTATATTGCTATTTTAAACTATTTTGAAGTTTATTGTTGATCAATTTTAGTATACTAAAAATTCTTTTTCTTTTTCTTTTTTCCTTTCATTCTAGACTAATTATAACCCTCATTTTCATTTCTTTATTGTTTTAAATTTTTAAATATTTTATTAGGCTTGTGAAATATTTATATTTAAATATTTCATTTGAATTATGGAAAACACTTAATTTTGCATGTTATATCTCAACTTATATAATTGATCTTTGGTTAAATTATAATAATCTTCCTGCTGTAACAAGAAAGCGTAGGAACCATCCAAAAACTGAATTGATTTGACAAAAACCTCTATTATACCCAAAACACCCTTAATAACTACTTAAAAAAAAAACAATAGAATTTTTAAAATTGAAGAAAGAATATTAAGAAAGAAACTTAAAAAAAAATTGCACGAAATTAAATAGTAAAATTAATATTATTCATGTACTAAAAATAATCATGTCTCATTTTCTTATATTCTTTCTGTGTTCTTTTAAGTTCTTAATTAACTATCTTTTTTAAATAGTAATTAAGCATATTTTCTTAAACATGGAGAGATTTTTTTTTTTTTTATATAGAAATCTTGAAAATTTTAGGTGGTATTTATAATTACATAATACTTCAAGAACATTATTATAATTACGCTTGATTTTTCGCTTTACACCAAAACCATCAAAATATATTTTCCAACTCACTTTGGATTGCACAATCAATTATAATAAACTCATTCATTTTCTTTTAGCAGAAAGTTGATAACTATAAAAATACTACTATTTTTAAAATTTTAATGACTCAAAAATGTTATTTTTTTAGCTCATTATTCATTACATCACCAAACATTGAAAAATAGTTTCCAGCTCATTTTTCGGGATGCAAAACATTAGAACATTAGAAAGTAATTTATTGTTTTGGAAATTACTTTTCATGGAATTCACTTTCCGACGAACAAATGAGGCCCAAGTTACTTGTCTAAAATAAAACCAATTACACATATCTCATAGAAAACTATAACTTGAGTGTTCAATATGTAAATTTTTCTATTTGAGTGTAAAAGTTTTGATATTTATTTATTTGAGAGCCCACGATCATTTGAAAATAGAAAATATTGATGCATACGGGATAAATAACATGTGGCAAAAAGTGATTCTACTTGAATTATTCAAGAAAAAAATCTAATTTTTTTTATTATTTTATATTTTTGTGCCCCCCCCCCCTCCCCCCTATTTGGGTTCCTTCAATAACTCAATACTGGAAAATATTAATGTGGTCAGGATTCATTACTCAAATTTATTGAGAAAAAAATAAAATTATAATTTTTTTATAAAATAAAATAGGTGTTGAGAATTAAAAATAAATAAAGAAATCAATTACTATTAGTCAAATAAATTCAAATTGTTTATATCATCTAAGGTTAAAACTCTTGGATTAGACCAAGAAGATGTTCAAATGATAATATTTTTAAAGTGTTTCAAAAATTGGTTAGCAAATTTTTTGAGTTCATCCATCTAATAGTAATTGATTTTGTTTTTTTTATAATTATTGCCAGTTATTTTTTCATAAAAGTTTTATTAAAAAAATATTTTTTCTTCTCAATAAATCTGAGTGAAATTTATTTTTTGCCAAGTTTAAATTAAAGATTGTCGCATGTTGTGAATTTTGACTGTATTAGTATTTTTCAGTTTTAAGAGATTAAGAGAACTTGAAAAAAAAAAAAAAAAACATTGAGCTTCAAGTAGAAAAATGATAAAAAACTAGGCACTTAAACACAATTTTTTCTAAAAGAATTTACCATGTTTTAGTTCATTCCAGACATATCAGTATTTTTAAAATTTCAGATTATTTTAGACACTTAGACCAAAAAGATAAAAATCAAAACTTTAACACTCCAATAAAAGAATTTACCAACAGATAAAAAAAATAATAATAATCGAACAATCAAATTACAGTTTTAACTGCCAAAAGGTCTGCTGGTCGATGGGCCGAATTGCTCATAGAGGATGTGAGCCACTCAGGCATTCACGGATTTCTTAATATGTGATGGGACACCAAAGCCCATTTATTGGCTGAGTAGGAGCCCACCACAAGGATTCACCGCAGCTTAGCTTTTCTATTTTTCATATATATATATATATATATATATATATATATATTACAAATTGGAAAGACATCTAAATTAATTCCTGTATTTGTGTTAAGTATCTATTTTTATTCTTATATTTTTAATTTAATAAATTAATTCTTGTATTTTTGAATTCATTCAATTGATCCCTGTATTATTTGAATTTATTTAATCTAATAATTAACTTTCAGCCTTAACTATTTATGCTGATCATGTAAGATTACTAAATGCAATCCATTTATGAGATGATTTTTTATATGTTATTTATGTAGTAATTATATCACTGAAAATTTTCTTTAAAAAATATATTAAAAATTATTTTTGATAAAAACTCGAGGACATAAAAAGTAGTTTTATTAAAGGAAAAACTTCTAAATCTACACATTGTGTTTGCGTCAATTATATATTTCTAATTTTGTATTTTTAAGTTGATCGATTACTTTTTATATTTTTTGAATTCGTTCAATTAACTTTTATTTTCTAAATTTGTTCAATTAATTCAGCAGCTAACTTCCATCAAGTTTTAATATTAACTAGATGTGCATTATTCAATATTATTTATTCACGCAAATTACCTGTTGTATGCTATCATGCACAATATATTTCACAGTTGGCGAAGTTCACAAACTTGTATGATTGTAAAAAATATATTTTTTAACATAAAAATTAAGGGAGACAGAAATTTTTCCTTTTACATAGTAAAATTTCTTAGAAAATGAGATTTCAACTTGAAGTTAAAAATGACATAAAAGACAAATTTCTCATGTAATGCATTCCTTCTTGATTTTTTTTCAAAACATTTTTCATAGAACATAGTATTCACTGCCATTTACTTTGCTTGAGATATTGGAGTAAATTAATGGTAATTAACATAGTGGTTACATATAGATTTCTTCGCTTAATGAGGTTGATGGGAGGAAATAATTTTATTTTTGTAAAGTTTATAAAAGATTATTTTAATATTTAATTTATAAATAAGTTTAGGTTTATAATTGTATATACATAATAAATAATAACAATTTTATAATATATGAATACGTGCAGGTGAAATGTTAGGCATTATTTTATGGATTCAATGATTTATTTTTAAAAAAATTAAAGAAATTTTTCTTTTTTAATGTCTGCATTGAGTTATGGTTAATCATTAAAATATAATTGTCAATCAATACATTTAATTCAATTTAAATCATGAATCGCGAAATAAAGAGGGTTTTTCTCTCATTTTGTTTGGGCCGGGCCCATCCTTAAATACGAAGGAGTTAGATAAAATTGGACTGGAGGCATCCTCGTTGGAGATGCATCTAACTAGGGTTTTCCCTTCCCTTCTTCTATATAAAGAGTTCTTCTCTTCATCTTCTTCTCCACTTCGCTCTATGGCCTCCACTGAGTAATAGGCTCTGTCTCGTCTTTTTCTTCGTATTTGTTCATCTTTTGTATGTTTAGTGAATTTATTTTATAGATAGTGAATGAAAAGGCCAATTTGCAGAGCAAGGGCGTCTGTTGAAATAGAATGGCGTGATTTGCATTGAAGGTTGGCTATATCAATTAATTGGCGATTCTCCGTGCCTATCAAATCTCTCTCGTTTTGATTATGGCCTCGAACAAGTCGCTAAATCTAAAAATTATTTTTGTTTTATTATTATTATTATTATTATTATTTGGTTTTATGGCTTCGTTTTTCTTTTGATTAAAAAGAATAATCTAAATTGATTGATGGTTTTTTCGGTAAATAGAAAGTAATTTTCGAAATTTATATTTGGTAGTTTTCAAATAAAAATATTGGTTAATGAATTGTATTTCAAATATCAGTTAATGAATTGTTCTTTTGCAACCATTAAAAAGATGGATGAGATTAATGAATGGCGATGCATGATTGTTTTATTTCTGATCTCTGTTCTAATTGTTATGATTGATAACCATAATATGGTCTACGCTAATCCCTCCTCTAGATCATGAAAATCGTTGTTGAAATATTCCTGGACTGAGGACTGAGTTGTTTGAAGATTATATGAGATTGATCTGTTTGATTTTCTAACGGAGACCCAGAGCTTTTGCTTCAAGTTTCTACTCCAAATGGAACCTTTTCCGGATTCTTTTGATGGGGAAAGCTTATTTTGAATTAGGAAATTCTTGACACAAACTTATCGATTGGGACTTCTAAAATTCAAAAATCTGTGGGGGAAAACTTAATTTTATTGGATATTTTGACAGGTGATTTGGACTGCTTGTTTTAAACAATTAGCCCTAATAGTCTTGATAATTCTCAAATCCAACCTTCAATTTGATTGAAAACATATATGTTTTAGCCTCTCAGAAAATTACTGATTCAAGTTATTATTTTTAACCATTATTAGTTTATCATTGTTTTTTAATAAGGCCTTAATACAATCCTCAGAAAAATCCTTGTTTATTTTTTGTTTTCCTTGTTAACGGGGTTCACTCATTAAAGGCTATTTTCAGGGGCAAAAGTGATTGTTTTTACGTCTTATAGATACTTCCATAACTTTTAAAGGTAATTTAGACTTCGGATTAGGACAGCTTGTTCAAACATCAACTACTTTGTTAACATGATTCATCCATCAACGTCATTTTCAGGAAAGGGTTTCGTTTTTCTCATCATTTTTGTCACATCAATTGGGGATGACAATTTGTCCCGCTCTGATGAAGTCCCGTCCCATCAAGTCTTGATTTTTCTCAATCAATGCAAAAATTCTTCACCTTGATTGAGAAAAGGGGTGGGGTGCCTCGTGATCTCAATCAATGCAAATATTCTTCACCTTGATTGAGAGAAGGGGTGGGGTGCCTCGTGAGCGAGAACCAGACAAAAAAAAAAAAAAAAAAATATTTGCCGCCCTATCTCGTTTGCTTTAAAAATTTTTTTTATTAAAATTAAAATTATATCTTATATAAAATATATAACTAATGACTTTTGTGATTTTTGTTTAATATTAACTATCATTTTTTTTCTATAATTTAAAATTTGATAGCAAAATTGAATAAAACATGACGAAATTTTTTTTTATAATTTTTATCATGTTTACCTCTTCAATGTCTCTCGAAGATCCTCACCCTCGTTTAAAGCGAGAACGGTATGAAAAATTTTATCTCGTTTGGAGCACGGGATGAAGAGGAGGGCAAAATTGATCCTATCCCCCTCCATCCCATTGTCATCCTTAACATCAATCAGGACTTGTAAACTTGAAAAAGAGGTGACATCGAATTTCGTGTTGTTAAACATGGTTTCCTAGTCAAAGCACTTCAAGAAAAACGGAAAAGTTGATAAAGAGTTGTCAAAGCATAAGCTTTGTATTCGGAATTCAGGACCTCCTATTCCTGAGGCCAGACCTAGTCTTATGACCCTTTTCTTATGGTACAAAGAGGGGCCAAAGGTCCACGTTCTGTAGCTGGAAATTCATTAATGCCAAAAAAATATATATATACCATGATATCATTTCCTGCCGACAATAGAGCAAATGGAATCATAAATGACTTTTGCACAGAAGATATAAGAACACGTTTTGAACTCCAACGCAGGAAATATTCAGTTATTATACTCCACATCGACCGTATGGTCCTATCTTCAGAATAGTTATCGTTCTTTGGCAAGTTAACTCTGATGTCAGCCAGATTTTGGTCTCCGATCGAGGCCAAAAGGGGGACGTGAAAAGTTGCACCACGAAGATTGTCGTCATCATCAAAATTGCCAAAAAAAAAGGGTTTGGTTGTGTACCAAAAAACGGTTTGTTTGCTTGGGACTCAGGACAAACACAAACTCAAACAACAGACTACTTGAAAAAGAACACAAACATCAAAACCACAGCTGCCCCCATCAGCATTCCCAATGACAACACACAAGAAACAACTGATTCTACAACTACAACTTGACCAAATTCCCTTCCCAACAAATTCTCTTCACATGGACTCACACTTGAGAGCTGTAAGACAAATTGCACCTTGCAGATTCTACCTCTACTTCTGAATCGGTGAGAAGGGGTCTGAAAAGGAGAGAAACTTACCATTTATGTTGCATTTTGCACTCACAGCTGCACTTGTCTATCGAAAATCCAACTGAAAGGAACGATGGGTCCTTGCTTGGCCCTCCCTTGAGCTCTTTCTTCCAGCTTTCTAATTCTGGGAGGTAATCCGCAGACATAATCCTGAGCTTTTTTACCCTCAGCAGAAAGTCCAGTTAATTTCTCCACTTTCCACCTGCCGACCAAGAATTCCAATATATCCGCATAGTCCTTGGCAGTGTACACTCCAAGACGCTGTGCAACGGCCGAAAAGTTCTCAAAAAGGTTATCATCACGACCATCATACATCAAGTGTGCAGGCATGGAAATTTTCTTCCTCATCATATCAGCAAAAGCCAAAACTGTTCCATCAGGATCAATCTCAAAAAGCTTTTCAACTATCTTTGTGTAGGCAGTCTCGTGGCGCTTCTCATCTGCAGCAATTGTACCACATATCTGAGCCAACTTTAAGTCTCCACGCTCCTTGGCATGTCTAGCAGTGTTCCCATGGGAGATGAAGGTTGCCCTTTCTTGGAAAGAGGTGTAGATGAACCCCAGGTAGGGACTGTTTTCTGTCCGGGGATCCTTTTAAAAGATAAGAAAATAGAAAATCAAATTAGAAAAAAGCACATTCCAGACTAAATTGTCCAGGGACCTACTCCATGGATCCACGATATTAATTCTTCAAAAGGTATCTCGATTTAGCGTCAAATGCAATCATAACAGTAGTTTTTTTCTTTTAGAAAATAAACCCATTAGAAGACCTAATTCTTCAATGTCCAGTTACTTAGATCAAGGTTAAACTGCAACTAGAAATGCATGCATCTTGAGTGGGCTAAAAATTAAAACGCCACCAACCAGTAGAAATCAGAGTATTATACTAATGACAGAATCTGTAACAGTGGAAACTTTTACGTATGTGCAAGAGTGAGTACCCAAGATTGCATCATACTTGCTAACCAGAGGACCCCAGTGAAAAATCTTTGAATATTTGGTCAAAGGATCAATTATGTTTCTTCTGTAAGCATGCATCTGAATATAAAAAAAATTACGACTAAACTCTCGGTTAAAGGAAGGATCTCACCATTCCTGACCCAATTAAATATTGAATTGTCTTCTCAATTTGCCTCATGTCCACGCGTCCAGAGAGGTAGAGATACTTGTTAAGAAGGTCACCATGCCTATTCTCTTCAGCAGTCCATGCCCTTGTCCAGACTGCCCATGATGTGGGGCTAGCACCTGTTTCATCACGAACCCCATCCAAGGTATTCAGCATTGTTTGATAAGTTGGAAGAGCTTCTTCTGTGATCATGTCTCCTACCAAAACAACGAAGTAATCATCTGGAAGCTCCTTTGCCCTCTCCCTGAGTTCCCTGACTTGTTCATCAAATCCATCAGAGGCAGGATCTGGCAGAAAATCCTGTGGTTGCCAACACTTCTCAACTGGCTTCAGATGAACTAAAATGTTATCCTCAGCCCAATCCTCGATAGACTTGAAGATCTCAAGCTTTTGAGGTGGCATGGAATGTGTGACTTGTACATGCACCTCTCGAGGGGGCATAAAAGGCTTCTTGACGCTCTCAACCTCCCTGCATTGAGTAGAAACATTCAGGACTATGTACTTACAATACAAATTGGTTTTGTGAAAGGGATTAGACACTGCTTAATGCTTACATGCAGTGATACACAAAAATAATAGATGTCAATACTTAATTAGCAATAGTTCCTGCATGGCCAGTTGTATAAGATACAATGAAAAGGAGCACGAAGTGGAGGGTTATGGGCTTTATGCAGAAATTGACTAGAATTTGGTTTACTAATGTCAGGGCACTTTGATGCAGAGTTGAGCACGTGCCTAAGGTTTGTATATACATCCTTCACTCACTTTGGCTAAACACTCTCAGCTAAAACCTCTGAGGGTAAGCAATGGGGAGAGAGTTAAACTTTCCCTCCATTTATTGAATCAAAATTTAATTGCTACTCACATATTGTTCAATCTTCCTGGCAGATCTCTCACCTCATCGCCATAAACTCACTTCTTCACAATACAAATAAAAATATTAAATTTGAAAATCGTATAGCACTACCAACACCATAGGGGCAAAAGAAACCCATATTCTGGTTTGAAAATCAGAAACATAGTTATGGATCTATTGGTCTTGATTATATAAAATTTAATGCCATCTTAACCCCTCATTCAATGTGTATTAACTGGCAATTCCTCTGAATTATAGCATTAGCTGGTTGGGTGGAACATCAGACACAGTAATACAAGTATTGAGATTGTTTATTTTGGAGTAAAGGAGAACCAAGTTCAGTTTTGTACAAAACAGAATTTGCCACAATCTAGACAAGCACAAACAAGTAGTTGGCTTGTAACTACCAAAAGCAAGAAAGTGTAAACTAATAGGAGATGAGTTGTAGGAAAACGAGTTGCCTGGCTCTTATCAACATGACATACAGCTACAAGTTAGATAATAGTCAAAGCTCCTCACCTATGAAGCCAATGCAAGGACTAAACATTTGGGATATCAAACTAGGTTCACCAACTTAGGTACCCACTTGAAATAAACCAAAAAAACAATATCTACTTCATAAAGAAGTCTGAAAAATATAACAGTAACTATATATATTACCTAGAAAAAAAACATAATAAATTAAAAAAAAAATAGCGTCCAATGCATAAATCATGAAATTTAGTAGAAAACTGCTGAAGATCCTCAAAGGTTAAAAATGAAATTCAAGTTCACAAAACCCCTCATGTAAAAGAGAAATATTTCTGCATCACCTACAGAACATGGCAAAAAGCTGCAACTTGAAAAAAAAAATTAATTAATTAATTTCACCACCTGTCAAACAGTACAATAAGGGAATCTGCCTACTAACCCATTTGAACTACTTCCACCAACTTTAACATCCTTTCTAGATGTAGATTCAACAGCATTTAATGAAAAATTAATGAACATGACAAAAACAAAAGGTAATGCAAAATTTGCATCCATCAGCCTAAAAATGTACTCATCTCGATTGAATTGAAGGACATGTAAAATTGTGTTACATAGATTGCTCCACATATATATGAATCTAATATAATTAGATTAGGGAAAAGAAATTAAGAACACAGAAAATAATAACTCTCAAAGCATATAACAGCAGTAGAACCAAAATTACAAAACAATAAAACACCCAAGGTCACCTTCTGGGCATGACCTGTCATGATAATGTAAAAGACACGAATCATTCAATTAGGTAATAAATACAGACAAAACTACTCACCAAAGAGACAACATGAGCAAGCAACAAGTGTACAAGCATGCAGCCATCAAATGCAACATAGAGTGTAACGATGAATCCGTCAAAACATTAAAACCAATTTGAAGAAAATTCAGCCACAATTTTTATCCAATGATCATTAAAAATTTAAAAATTTGTTGTTTGCAATTTGTCCTCCAAACATATACACAAAATAAGCACACATATTATGATACATAATAAGTATATTACTTCACCCATTTCAATGAGACTGTCAAACATACCAAAACCTTTGACATAAAATAAACAAAAGAGAATTAATGCAGATGTTAACCTTGAATTCTCCAAACAAAGATATGGACAATAAAATAAATATCCTAACCACCCCATCACCATATAGCTAAAGAAGACAACCAGAAAAAACATACTGGCATTAAAATCACAGACCATAAAGAAAACCGCATGACAAAAGAGAAGCATCCCAACCACCAAAATGCAGCAAGAGAAATAAAAGAAAAATAAAAAAATAAAGGAATTTCAACAGCATATGCTTTTAATGGCTCTAGTCATCATCAGGCAGAACGCATATTCGTAGAATCTATGAAACCTGATTTAACAGACGGCAAAAAAATGATTCCCCTGTATTTTAATTCTATTCACTTCATTGGTTTTTTTCTGCACCGAGCTAAAAACATGAATGAAGCAACATAATAATGTCTTGCCATTTTAAATCCAAATAAAGAACTTAAAACGGAAAGCAAGGACATGACATGCATAAGAACATAAATTTTTGATGCTATAAAACCATTGAACCACTACCTCCAACAACGCGAAAAAAAAATACTTGGTAAAATAGACCATGATACGAGAGTGTTCTATTGGCATACAAGATGAGGTGACAAGCATGTTAAAGACAATGTACAAACCTGAATTAAATCACCCCAAAAAAAATACAAAATGAATTCGAATACTAACTTCAAACATAAGAAGCCCATCTCTATGAATTCAAATTATAGAGGCTAAATTTGTTGTGTGTGTGTGTGTGTGTTGGGGGGTGGGGGGGGGGGGGATTTCGGAAGGTGGGAAGGAATAGAAGCTGAAATAAAGAGAGAACGTACAAAACCAGCTTCAACATCACCAAAACTCATTGAAGCCACCGTCATTCGCATCAAATTAGGACAAAACAACACATCATCAAGGCCAAAGAAAAAAAAATTCAAATTTGATACCCCACAAGAGAAAATTTTGTTTGAAAGCATAAACAACAAGATCACAAAACCAAACACAAAGAAGTAACGAACATGTAAGCCAAATTACAACGAGAAACGAGAACCCAGATCCAAAATCAGCTGAAAAAGCAATAAAAAATGCAAAGATCCATACTTTGTAAGGAAAAAAAAAGGGCATTGAAGAGAACATGAAACAGAGGAAGAAAGAAACTCACTTGGTGCGAGAATTGAGGGTATATGCCATGCAAACCTTAGGAGATCTGAGGCTAGCCATTGGTGGAAGAGCAAAAGAAGGGAACTTTTGAGATTGAGAGACAAAAGGATTGAGCTTGAGAGCCATTGCTTACTGTTTTGTTTTGGTGTTAAGGCTCAGTTTCCTCCACAAAGAAGAAAGAAAAGAAGAAAAGGAAAAAGAAATTTTTTTTAAGCAGACAAGCCGAGCAGAGAAAGAAAACAGGGAAGTAGGACACTTCAAATAATGGGATTGCAACTTATACCTGACACCAGTGCCGTATTTATATCAATAAATTCATAAAACAACTTTTATTTCATTACAATTACACATCTACCCTACTATTTATTTCTCTATAGTTGATTTTTTTTCAAAAAAAAAAAAAAAACATCAAGAAAGAACTCTAAAACTCTCTTTTTATTATGAAATAATGAATATCTATCATTATATTTATCCACTTTTTATATCCGCACTACTTATGATTCTTAATATGATTTAATTCATCATTCAATATGAAAAATTAAAAGGATTATGCAATTGATTATTCATATTCCCTTCCAATTCTCTTCTCATTTTTTAAGCCTATAAATAGACTTGATTCTTTATTGGTTGGTATACGTGTTTTCTAGAGAGAATAAGAGAAACTTTGAAGTTCTTATCACTTGTATCCACATTATAGTGATTTTATTTTTTTATCATCCTTTCCTTCGATTCTCCTATCATTTCTATTTATTTTATAACACGTTATCGGCACGAAGCTCTAACCAATCGAGATAATAGATCATGAGGTGTGTATCTACCAAAACACTTAATCAATTGTTTCAATCATTGGATTTCTTTTGCACAAGTGCTCTATTAATTGGATCTAAATTATTATTTAGATAATTAAGATGTATATATCTAATTTATTATGTATTTTAAATCTAATGATACATAGAATATACATTTGAAAAATTTAAATGATTTAATATATAAAATCTAGTGATTAAATATATGTTGTTTAAAAAAAATTAATTTTATTATTATGTTTGTTCTTATTTTCTAATATTATTATTATATATTACATTATAAAATTTATATCATATCAAACCTCATAAACCTATTTTTGTGGCTCTTGATATTTCGAATAAGAATTATTGATTATGAGTGCTTAATTCTAAAAAAATATTCTCTAATTTTTATATCTTGAATATGCTCCTGCAATAGTAATATTGAGAAAATGAATTTAAGAAATATTCGATTCGATTTCATATTTGCTCATGGCTAAATAAAATAACAAGCTATTGATGAAAAGGAATAAATCTCATCCAACTGGATTTACTCCATTCCACGAAGTAAATGTGACAACTTATAATAATTTTGGACATGGACAAAGATGTAGTTATAGCCATGGACGTATTCGAAATAATTATCATTATAATCATGATAACCATGATATTACATCTCATCACTAGAAGTGTATAACTATGAAAAAAAGAAAAGAATGAAAATAAACAAAGTCGACATTCGAAAAATAAATATTATAGATGTGGAATGAATGAATATAGTCATGTACCTGCCAGTACACCAAAGCACCTCATTGAGCTCGTTAAGCCTTATTGAAAATAAATAACAAAATATGAAAACCACTTTTATATATCAAAATAATAGTAATTGAAATTAATTACTTATTAGTTTTTCTATTTATAAATAAAATATTTTATATTTCTTATAATTTATATCGTACGGTGATGATTACAAATTTATCTTACTATTTATTTATTTGTTTGTTTGTGTTTATGAGAAATTTATTTATTTATTATTGATTTATTTGATTATTTATTTTATGTTAATATTATATGTGATAATATCATTCTAATAGAAAGTTCTAGAAGAGAGACTATATTATTATCTAAAGAGATAAATTTTGAAGGCTCTAGAAGAGTGAATATATTATGACACGAAGAGATAAATTTTTGAAGCTCTAAAAGAGTCGATATATTATTACTTGAACGAGATAACTTTTAAAGGCTCTAGAAGAGTCGATATATTATTACTTGAAGTGACATAATTTAAAGGCTCTAGAAGAGCAAATATGCTATTACTCGAAGGGATAAATTTTATTATAAATGATGAACTATTCTCTTCAAAGTCTCATAGAAATTTATTGAGTTTTAAAGATATTCATGTAAATTGATATTATATCAAGATAGCAAATATGAATACTTATATATTATAATCATTATATCGGGTAGAAAATATGTATTGAAAAATTTTACTGTTTTCTCTTTTGATCTTTATTACAAATATTGAAATGATTAAAACAAATATTATAGTAAACCGAAGTTTACCAATTCAAATACTTTTACTATGTGACATGACCGGTTATGTTATCTTAGGTCTTTCATGATGTGAAAAAATTATTAAAAAAAATTATATGAATATCTATTGAAGAGCGAGAAGATTCTTCAATTTAAAGAACTTTCATGTTCTACATGTTGCCAAGGCAAATTGATGATTAAGCCATCATCAAATAAAATTGAGATTAAATCTTCGGTATTTTAAAATGTATTCAAGGTGATATATGTTGATCAATTCATCCACCATATGGACCATTTAAATATTTTATGATTTTGATAAATGCATCCACAAGATGGTCACATATATGTTTATTATCTATTCGAAACTTGACGTTTTCGAGATTGCTAGCAAATAATTTGATTTCAAGCATAATTTTCAAATTATGTCATTAAAACAAGTCACCTTGATAATGCTTGATGAATTTATTTCTCAAGCATTAAATTATTATTGATTGGCTATTAAAATAAAGGTTGAACATCCGTTGCTCATGTTCATACTCAAAAAGATTTAGCAAAATCATTTATCAAAAAGCTCCAATTGATAGCTAAACCATTATTTAAAAATAAAACTCTTTGTTTATGTTTAGCGACATGCAATCATACATGCAACAACACTTATTCGCATATGACCCATAAGTTATCAAAAATTCTCTCATCTTCAATTGATTTATAGTCATGAGCCAATTATTTCTTATTTAAAAATTTTTAGCATTGTAGTATATATCCTTAGTGTTCCTCCATGATGAAATAAAATGGACAATTAAAAGAGATTGAAAATATATGAATCCTCTTTGACAATTCAATCTCTTGATTCATGAACAAGAGGAAATTTTTACGGCTCGATTTATCGACTGTCATTTTGATGAAATAGTTTTTTCAATATTAGGGGGAGAGAATAAACAAAATAAGCGATTAGAAATATTGAAAAAAGAGATTACATGGAGTACTCTATCTTTATATCAATATGGTACAAAACAATGTGAACTAGAAGTTCACGAGATAATTCGTTTATAAGGTATTATAAATCAAGCTGTTAGATGTATTCTCATATCCTAAAAGAGTAAATAAAATGCATGTCGTTGTTAAGAATGCTTCTATTAGAATTGATGTCCTACGAGGACGATCTATTAATATTATAGCTAACGAATTTAAAGCACGCCCGAAGTGCGAAAGACCGATCGGTTTTAAAGATAAAAATCTTCAAAAGAAAAGGACAAGATGAAAATATGAAAGATGCAAATATTCACAAAATGATCTAAGATAAATATGATAATAGGCTTCGGAAGAAGTCCAAATGCTTGAAAAAATTAAGAGACTTTGATAATTATGTCAATATAAGAAGAAAATAAGGACCGAAAATAAATATTTTTTGTATATAATGTTTCAATTGATATTTTGAATGAAAATAAGGATCCCGAGCTAAAATTTATTGAAGAATGTCGACATAAAGATGATTGACCTAAATGAAAAGAGCAATCCAGGTAGAATTATGTTCTCTTATAAAAGAGTATTTTTGAACCCATAGCTAAAACACCTAAAGATGTTAAGCTAGTGGGACACAAATATGTATTTATACAAAAATGAAATAAGAAAGATGAGATTGTAAGATACAAAGTAAAACTTTTAACACAAGAGTTTTCGTAAAGAACTGACATTGACTATGAGGAGATATATTCTCCTATAATGGATGCAATTGTCTTTTGTTATCTCATTAGCTCTGGCAAAATATATAAAAAACATTCATATGCTTGCATATAATAAATGTGATCACGGTTTATTTGTTCATTTGAAATGATATCGGTATGAAAGTCCTAAAAGGACTTAACATACCAAAAGCATGTAATACATATTCTCGAGAAAAGAATTCAATTAAATTATAGAGATCTCTATTATGATTATTTTAGTATTTTTTATTATTATTTTAGTTTTTAGAAATTCAATTTATACTATACTTTTTTATATTTTATTTTTATATCTATTTTTTATTACTAACCCGCGTGCATGTGATATAATCACTTCGGTAATTATTGAAAGGAAGTTATAAAAAAAATCATATTTGTTCATATATTTTTATTTGAAAAGGGGTTTGTTGTATATGTTGATAACTTAAATATTATTGAAACTCCTGAAGAGATTCCAAGTGTCATAAGTTATCTAAAAGGAGAATTTGATGTGAATACCTTAGAAAAATAAAATGTTATCTCAACTCGCAATTCGAGCACTCGGAGAAAGATTTTTATTCATCAATCAATTTATATAGAAAAAAGTTCAACAATGATTCTATATAAAGATCATTCATTGACTAGCCTAATGATAGTTCATTCACTTAATATCCATAAAGATCTTTTTCGACCTCGAAGATAACAAAGAACTACTTGATCCCGAAGTGTCATGTCTTAGTGCCATCGATGCATTGATATATCTTGCTAATAATACTCAACTCGATATAGTATCTTCTATAAATTTATTAGCAAGTCATAGTTTTGTTTCAATGCGGAGACATTGAAATAAAGTTAAACATATACTACGTTATCTTCAAGGAATAATTGATATGGGTTTATATTACTCCAATAAATCAAAGACAAGATTAATTGGTTATGCGGATGCGAGTTATTTATCTAATCTATACAAAGCTCGATCACAACTGGTTATATATTTACATATAGAGATCCAGCTATATCTTTGTATTCTATAAAGCAAACTATAACTTTCACATCTTAAAATCCTGCGAAATATCAATTCACGGGGCAAGTCAAAAATATGTTTGGC